CTAAGGGCGTGAAAGGGGATCTTTACTTGTTATATTTATGTGCACTTAAGTAAGGCTTAACTCCTAAATCACCAGAACATTAGCTTTGCAATTTCAAGGGACCGATAGTCTCAGTAAGCATTATTGCTACATATGAAGCAACACAGATACTAAGGGTTATTAGAGAATCTAACCATGTTTTTAATAGTACTGCTAGGCTAAACAATGGATACCATCTTTCATAGTTTGGCACTCATTGGCAATATCTGATCACACCTAGAGCGTTGGTTAGGAACTACAAGAGTATGTGTGGTGTCAGTGTGTTTTGTGTCAGTGTTATGTTTTGTGGCTGGGTATGTGTGGTGTCTGTGTGTTTTGTGTCAGTGTTATGTTTTGTGGCTGGGTATGTGTGGTGTCAGTGTGTTTTGTGTCAGTGTTATGTTTTGTGGCTGGGTATGTGTGGTGTCTGTGTGTGTTCTGTGTCAGTGTTATGTTTTGTGGCTGGGTATGTGTGGTGTCTGTGTGTGTTCTGTGTCAGTGTTATGTTTTGTGGCTGGGTATGTGTGGTGTCTGCGTGTGTTTTGTGTCAGTGTTATGTTTTGTGGCTGGGTATGTGTGGTGTCTGCGTGTGTTTTGTGTCAGTGTTATGTTTTGTGGCTGGGTATGTGTGGTGTCTGCGCGTGTTTTGTGTCAGTGTTATGTTTTGTGGCTGGGTATGTGTGGTGTCTGCGTGTGTTTTGTGTCAGTGTTATGTTTTGTGGCTGGGTATGTGTGGTGTCTGCGTGTGTTTTGTGTCAGTGTTATGTTTTGTGGCTGGGTATGCGTGGTGTCTGTGTGTGTTTTGTGTCAGTGTTATGTTTTGTGGCTGGGTATGTGTGGTGTCTGTGTGTGTTTTGTGTCCGTGTTATGTTGCGTTTGTGTGCTTTTCTGTGTGTTTGTGTACATGTTTGTGAATCTGCCATGGGTGTGTCTTCTTTGCGTTTATTTTTGCATGTTGCTCCTGTGGGAAATTCATCTCCAAGCTGAACACACACACACAAGCTCACACTCACTCATTCACACTGTCACTCACTCATTCACACTGTCACTCACTCATTCACACACACACACACACACTGTCACTCACTCATTCACACACCCACACGGTCACTCACTCATTCACACACTCACATGGTCACTCACTCATTCACACACTCACACTCTCACTCACACTGTCACTCACTCACTCACACTGTCACACACTCACACGGTCACTCACTCACACTGTCACTCACTCACTCACACACTCACACTGTCACTCACTCACTCACACACTCACACAGTCACTCACTCACTCACACACTCACACTGTCACTCACTCATTCACACACTCACTCACTCACTCACACGGTCACTCACTCACTCACACACTGACACGGTCACTCACTCATTCACACACTCACACTGTCACTCACTCACTCACACTGCCACTCACTCACTCACACACACACACGGTCACTCACTCACACGGTCACTCACACTGTCACACACTCACACTGTAACTCACTCACTCACACACTCACTCACTTATTCACACACTCACACGATCACTCACTCACTCACACGGTCACTCACTCGCAAGGAAAAAGTCAAACGAAATAAATCAGAAACATTCTCTCTGTACTCTTCTTCCTGTTTGTGTTCACCAGCTGGAAACTCCCAGCTGGAAACTCCGATGGAAACTTCTGGTTGTTCGTCCACTTCTGGACTTAGTTTTGTTCCACAATTTGAGTTTTGCGTGCACATCCGGTGTACTCAGCTGGCTTAAATTTGTGCAGACTTCTGGTTTCTTGCCTCTCAGGAAAATGCTGCCCAAATTCAAAGGAGTCTATCTTTTGGATTCTTCTTCTTCTTCACGTTCACCAGCGTTCTGGCAGAAAGTCCTGGTTGTTCGTCCACTTCTGGATTGCAGTCCTGTTCCAGAACCTGAGTGTTGCATCTGTTTTACAGATCTGACTCATCTGTTTGCAGACTACTAGTTCCTTTCCCTTCTTCTGCACTCAAACTTTGAAGGAAGTTCTCAATTATTTTATTCTTATGACATGCATTCAGGAAGGCAATGGGTCTAATCTTGTTTTCCCTATAACAGGGCCCCACAACCCACACAGGGATCTGTTGGATTTATTTAGATCCACCTCTGAGCACTAAAACATTCTTAAAGTCATAAACAAACATTGAAACGCTTGAGAACATGTTACGTGTTGGGTGGTGCTCAGATAAAACATTAATGAATATGAAATATAATGGTATTTCATTGTTTTTAATAAATAATGATTTTATTTGAGCATATTTATACATTATAAAAGATAATAATTGGGTAGTAGAGTGACCACTTTGGTAAAAATGTGGAGTCATGTAATGATTGTCCGGTGGCTAAAATGGTATTCCAGAGTCAATAAATCACTCAATAACTTACCCACGTGTTTACTTACACAATTAATGACTCAATTAATTGATCATTTACTAAATTAATCAATCCCAGTCAATCGGTCAGTTAACCGAATTCTGAAAAAGGCAATCATTTTATCAGTTAAGCACTGAGTGTATCATTCAGTCACTAAATCACTTGACTGATTAATCAAAAAATCACTGAAAGCAATCCTTTAATTAATCCCTATATCTACTGTCCAGTCAGTCAAACAAAATAATTGCATAATCTAGTAATTATTTAATCAATAATTTGATCACGGTTAATTTTATTCAAAAAATTATTTGCTTAATCTGTCAATCATTCACTGATTCTGAGGGCTGCATGGTCTAGAGGCATGGTGTCCACTTCAAGTGCTAGAGGTCCAGGGTTCAAGCGATGGTTAAGGCCGGAATATTTTCACATGGATTTCTAGTAATTACCCCTGGTCTATGGGTAGTAAGACCGGACGCCTGTGTGTATTGTTGTGCAATTGAAAACATCACTTAGCAGTTGGAAATCAAAAAGAGTATCCTACGGCGGTGCCCGGGCAAAATTTGGAGATTAAAATCTACCTAAAGTATTTCAGGATCCTCGCCAGTGCAACAGAGTTCGTGCACTGAGCTGAGACACTTCAGACTCAGGCTTGAGTTAGAAGAAGAACAGAGCAGTTGTGAGTTACACCGGTATGCCATGATGTTGATCCATTGAATAAACATAAACAATCTCTGATTCAATCACACAGTTAATGAATCACAAAATTAATAACTAGGTCAATTTATTAATGACTCTACCAATCAGGCACCAGTCACACAGTTAGTGAACCATAAAATTAATAACTAAGTCAAGTGATCAATTACTCTACCAACCACGCACCAGCCACACAGTTAGTGAACCATAAAATTAATAACTAAGTCAAGTGATCAATTACTCTACCAACCACGCACCAGCCACACAGTTAGTGAATCATAAAATTCTAAAATTATTCAATAATTCATCAATAACTCAATCATTCATTAGGTCAGTCACTCTGTTAATTAAAAAATTAATCACCCAGTCAACTCATCAATGACTCAATCATTCATCCCATAAAATTACTGACTGAAACTGTTCTGTCCTTCTGTTAAACAGATATGCAAGTAAAACTCGAGCTCTGGATCAAGACTAAAATCCAGAAGTGGACGGAAAACCAGAACTTTCCGACGGAGTTTTCACCGGTGAACATTAAGAAAAGAAGTCAGTCACTCAGCTCATGGTTCAATGAATCAACAACAAAAATCACTCAAACTTTGATGAATGACAAGAAAAACAGCTCTGTCAATAAATAATTTTGGAGCCCTGTAACTCGATGTTTGCCTGCAAGCTTGATGGGCTTGGGTTTGGATCTGCAGCAGGACACCTCTTTTTTAAATAACTAACTGTGGCTTCTAGGTCGACCATGTTAGGAAGAATGCATCAACAATATCTGACCATGTTAGGAATAATTTATCAACAATATCTGACCATGTTAAAAACAATTCATCAACAATATCTGACCATGTTAGGAAGAATGCATCAACAATATCTGACCATGTTAGGAAGAATGCATCAACAATATCTGACCATGTTAAAAATAATTCATCAACAATATCTGACCATGTTAAAAACAATTCATCAACAATATCTGACCATGTTAAAAACAATTCATCAACAATATCTGACCATGTTAGGAAGAATGCATCAACAATATCTGACCATGTTAGGAAGAATGCATCAACAATATCTGACCATGTTAAAAATAATTCATCAACAATATCTGACCATGTTAGGAAGGATTCATCAACAATATCTGAACATGTTAGGAAGGATTCATCAACAATATCTGAACATGTTAGGACAATTCATTTAGTCTGTAGAAAGGAAACTGGCTCACAGAGAAGGAATTAAAATATGTTGGTCATGTTAAATTATGGGATGCTCAGAAAGAACAGTAATCTTCTTCTTTGGTCACCCTTGAAATAACCTTTGGCACATTGTTTTGTGGTTTACAGCTTGGCTGCAATATTTACACTTTTTAGCTCAATACATCCTGTTTCAGCAAACCTTTAATTTGTTGTCTTTTATGATATGTTTGTTGGAAGGAAGGCAGGGGTGTGGGGGGGGCAGGGGGGTGTGGGGGGCAGGGGTGTGGGGGAATGCATTCTCCCTAAAATGATGTCCCCCTGATGTTATGAATAAATAAATAAATTTTTGCTATTTTCAAACGGTTGAAAACTGGGTGAGCAGGCCTGACTTACACCTGACTTTTAGAAACATTTGTCTTTCATACTGCAATTGTATTTTATATTTGATGCATGTTATGGTGACAGGAGAGCCAGTTATCGACTGTTATGCTTGGGGACTCAAGACCTTAAAAATACACTGGGCATGACAATATATGAAACGAGGAAAATTGCTAAATGAATGAGTCATTCTGAGAGATTTCTTCTTCTACTGACAACATATTGCACGACATGCAACATTTATGCAGAACTAGAAACAGAACTCTTCAGTCAACCAAAGTTAACAACATTTGTTTCCATTGAACTGTGAAAACTCATAGAATGCAGCATCTTGAAACTGTATGGGGATTTTTGACTGAAATTCTCCTGTATGGTTCTTGTACGGCCTGCAAGCTGAACAGTGTGTCCTGCATTCTCTGCACTGTTAATTTGTCTCTCCCAGAAAGCAAACTAATTAATGAACGAATTTTCTGTAAGTTTGGGTTTTCATCTTGATGCAAGTGTGAATTTTTCTCACAATAATCAATTTCAGCCACTAAGCTAGCTGCAGAATTCTTCAAATTCTGGTAATCAGAAAACCTTTGCGAATCTATGTACTTTCTCAGGTCATTCACACAAAGATCAATTCGGCATAAAATATTCTCCGGCACTACATCATCCTCTCCTCGCCTGCTAACTTTCTGCTTGGGGACACTATTGAATAAATCAGTTGTAAAAAGTGAGCCAATTTCTTGTGCCAGCGAAATCAGTTTATTCACAGACTCTTCGTGTTTCTTTGGTGTCAAATTATGGAATAAAACAACTCTATTGCCACATTCTTTAATGAAATCCCCAAGTCCGCTGTCCTGTTTCTGACACCAAGTTTCAAATGTCATCCACTCCCGACGATTTGTATACAAATCAAAACATTCCCCATGTGTAATGACTAATATCCCGTGATTCTTAAAAATATCCTTGCCCAAGGAATCTTTTAACACTTTAATCAGGTGAGTGTCTTCCTCTGTTAACCGTGGACTGGCAAAGTTCAACACATACACCAGAGCATGAAATCCGCGGGGGCAGTGAACAAAAGCTTTTGCTGTGTTGCGTAGTTTAGACCCGCCCTCAAGTAAGCAGGGAGCATCAATTATTTTCAATATCAGCTTGCCATGCTTGCACCATTTAACATCAGAGATGTAGCAATCTTTATCTTTGAAGTCGTTGGATTCATTGAATGCTCTATGCAATCCTAGAATTGTGTTTCCTGTGGCACTTCTCCCATTTCCTCGTCCTCCAACAAGGAAGAAATCCAGATCACTGATAGGCTTTAATAAGGAGGATTGCCCTTGATTTGTCTGAAAACACACAAATTGATATGGTCAGTTCCATGATAATCTCCCCAAACAAACTAGGTCACGTTCCATTCATAAATTTTTTAGACTGGTCAGCTGTCCCGGGGGGAGGGGGGGGGGGGGTAATGAGTTGCTGCTTTGTTGTTTCATTTCTGGCTTGTCTTGCATTATTTACGTTTTTCTTCTTATCTTCTGAGAAAGAATATGTCTGTGACATAGGTTGCAGTACTCTCTAGGGGAGTTTGTGTGTTAGACCAGTTTCTGAATGTTTTTGTAGTGTTAAAAGCGCTGGTGAGCTTAAATATACAACATGCAATATCAACGGCATTGCCTAACACTCCCGTACATTAATTCTTGGAAGTTTCTGATCCTACCAGTGTAGTTATATAATTTTTTTATTTATTATTTTTATTTTTTTTATTTTTCGTAGTCACAATTTGAGGAGGACAAGTAATAGCATGGTATATCTACAGTCCAGCATGGCTAATGGATGACCCAATAAAAGAACATGTAGTCAACTCAGTAGTGATTGCATGAATGAAAATAGTTGTAACACTCACATCAATATTTTTGCCTTTGACAAATCCCATGGACAAGACTTCGCCAGCAGACGGACGCTCACTGGGAAGAGATAAGCAAACATAGAGCATGTTTATATTATATGTGACCAATATATTTCTGACCAGTAGGGATGGGTCACAGCTCTTCATCTTGGGAGAGCATAATAGAATGAATTAAGACAATCAGTTAGCTGTCTTTATGTGATTCTACTATACTGCCTTGTTTTTATCTTATATATATTTAAATTATCCTCTCATATAAACATTATTCTTTTCTTTCTTCAAGATAACATCTACCATTAACTCCCAAAATAAACATCTGCATAAAAAAAAAATTGTTAATGTATTTAGGCACATTATTTTACACTATTTAAGAAACGTTTGCACATGGACATTACCCCAAAACAACTGCAAAATAAAAAATAAAAGTAAAGAAATAAGATTTATCTTAGTCAGGCTCTACTGGTTGTGTCTGTGGCCAGATTTTTTGACTTTTAAATTCAAAATACTTACATGAACAAAAAGTTCATTATTTCTGCTGTAATGATAGAATTAAACTCATTAAGAACCTTTTGTGCCCCATCTGTTTTTTTTTTTTTTCCCTGACCCATTCTGTCAAGTTTCTTTCTTTAACTCCTCCTCTGTCATAAAACCCTAATTTAACCTATCAATACCAACAGTTGAATACTAAAACGTAACATATTTTTAGAACAGAATAAGTTATATTTAAAACTGGCTTGATTTTGGAAGAGTGAATGCTGGGTACAGACAGATGATGATGATCTGAGATCATGAGAATGGTGCAGATGGAAGTGACCAGGGACAATGGCTGACGCTCTGCACTCAGAGGAAAGGCATGACGGACAAACAATTAGACTGTTACTGTACCATAAAAACTAGAACTCTGCACTGGCTGCTGAAGCTGAGGACAGAGCACTTAAGAGAAGGTCCCGAGTGCTGCAGTCCGACTCGTAATCCAACGTACCGCGATCGAAACCCCACTGAATGTGGATTTTTCATGATAGTACGTCGCAGTCGATGCGTAGTCTCAAATGCGGTCCAGGATGGGCTGTCCTGGGGAAGTAAAGCGGCCGGCGAGGCCGACCACATTATCCAAAGCGCCGATTGGTCTGTAAAAATAATGCTCCATATGCCCGATGCGCCTTAGGCGTAATAAAGGATTTTTATCTTGGTTTTTTACGTAACATCTTCTTCCTTCAGCCTTCACCAGCTGTACCACTCTGGCATGTCCTGGTTGCTCGTAAAGACGGAACTGCGTAAGGCTGACCACATTACCCACCGATGTGCCGATTTTACAGATCTGTAAAAATATGGGATCCTTGCTCTGCCCATATGCACCCGACTTCAAAGCTCCCCAATTAGTCGTAATAACGACGATCTTTTGGGGAGGCTTTTTTTGTTTTACCCAAAATAGGGCAGGTATGCAGTATGCAGTACTCGTACTTTTTTTTTAAGGCATCATTTTTTTAGAGCTATTGTAATAGACACTGGTCACGAGTACCTGCCCTTTTCTTTTTAGACACTTTGTGGTGAGTTCCAGCTCCTTTTTAGACACTTTGTGGTACCAGCTCCTTTTTAGCCACTTTGTGGTACCAGAACATTTTTAGACACTTTGTGGTGAGTTCCTGCACCATTTAGGACACTTTATGGTGAGTACAGGCACCATTTTTCTCTAAGAAAAAAAGCCTTTTATCTCAGAGTTAATGCTACATAAAATCATTTCTGTGAATCAGTTACAGTCATACATCAAACATGACTTAAAAGCTGACTTGTGAAAGGTCATACATCAATTATGACTTAAAAGCTGACTTGTGAAAGGTCATACATCAATTATGACTTAAAAGCTGACTTGTGAAAACTTACTCTGGGTTTACACTCAATAGTTCAGTAATGAGATCCTGAAGGTCCTGGCTGTATTCAGATGAAACTGGAGAAAACTTTGCACTGTAAACAACAGAAAATAATTATTATAATGTAGTTAGCTAGTTAGTTGACAGATTATTCTCACTGCACGTTTCATCGAATGATTCAAGTGCTTGGATCCCCTCCTCACTAAATCTTACAGCATGTAGCGGCTGACGATGCCAGTTCTGTGTTGGTTTCTTAGTCTTTTTTGGTTCCTGCAATGTGCTTTTATCTGGCTGCACCTCTTTTATTTAGCTGTTCTTTAGTCACTTGGTTATCATAAACGCCCTTTCTGGTACATGGTTCGGGGAAACGAACCAGGGTAACGAGCAAAGCCTTCTAAAAGAGTGGGTTTGACATTTTACAGGCAACTTGATCAGTCAAAAGTAAGACATGATGTGTATAATGATTCTTCTTCTTCTTCGTTTACCAGCCACAAGTTCCAGGAGAATATCCTGGTTGTTCGTCCACTTGGACACTGGCTTGGTACCAGGGCCTGAGTTTTGTGTGTACATCCATTTTACGGGCGTATTTATTTGTGTGCAACTGGTTGTTCCTTGCCGCTCAGGTGGATGCACTCAGATTTCGACAAAAGCCCCCCAGGTAGTTGACTCGTGACATGCTTGTTGGGGAAACAGTGGGTCCATTCTTGTTTTCTCCAAAGTGGGACCTTAGAACCCACACGGAGAAAACTGATTTATTCTGGTGAATGTCATGGAAAGATTTTTTTTTTTTTTTGTGCTTCCTATGTTGGGTCAGTCTGTGGCTTAGATATTGCAAAAGCGCTTTGTAATTCTGAAATATCTTTTTGATTCCAGCATACTGGTGATTTGACAGCAGACCGCTTTATACTGATTTTGACAATGGTATACAGCGACAACTGTGGTTGACTGGTTGGTAAGCTGGCTGGTTGGTTGGCTGGCTGGTTGGCTGGCTGGCTGGCTGTTGCCTGGCTGGCTGGATAATTGCTTGTTTATTTTAGATTCTCTTTGAAGTCTAAATTGTAATGCGTAATTCAAACGCACTGATGTCGGAGACTCTAAGCCTCTAGCATTGTGCTATCAGTGCCACACATGGACATTAACAACAAAATAACAAAACAACAGAAACATTTTGTCTACAACAAATCCTAAATGTAACTAGAAGAGACAGGATCAGAAATGATGATATGAAGAATGTTGAATGTTGAATTAGGAATCGACATCACAGCTCTCGGGACAATCCCATAAGTGCTTAGTCCCCAACTTCAGTAGCAAGCGAAAAGTTCCAGTTCCGATGGTGCCAGTAACCGTCTGATTGTACAGCTGCCTCATCCTTCCCGTGAGTGCTGAGCATCGGCCAGATCCCCTGGTAACTCATTGCAACGCCATTCTCCTCAGACAGTAATGATCTATCTGCGCCTTCGCATTGATATCGGGAAAGAAGCTGTAACACAACCAGTAATAAACTATAACAAGAGACGACAGATCAAATGGTTTGGTCATGTGACAAGACACTCACTAGACAGTACACCACAGAGAGCCCTATCACTTAGACATAATGGAAAACAGATCCGGAGGTCAACCATGCAAGCGATGGACAGACCAAATATTCCAGGCTGTAGATACCAGCATTTATGTAACACAAAATAAGGCTCACAGCTGATGCCTCTTCAAAACTTGATCTTGAAATGCAGAACAGGACCCAAAAAAAGAACTGATAGCATTTTCATTTGTTAAATTTTTAGTCTGGGTTGTAATTCTACACTTTTGCAAAAAGCAGCTGCTGGGAGACTCTTCCAGGCCATAAACTGAGAGTTTCTTAGCAAAAGAGAAATTGGCAAGAGGACAAAAATGGCTGTTTACCGCTCTACCTATGTACCAGTCCTGACCTATGGGTGTGAGTCATAGGCAATGACAACAGCTCACAGAAGCTAGCTTCAGGCCTCAGAAATGAAATATCTGAGAAAGGTGGTCCAAGGGGCAAAAAAGTTTGCAAACAGACAATACATCAAGATCTTGATACCCAGTACTTACAAACTAGAGTGAATCTGTCTCAGTTACGATGGTTTGGACATGAATGCAGAATGGGATCAAATCAGTCACCATGGCAGACTAAGAACCAAGGAACGAGACCTCCAGAGTGACCCAGGACAAGATTTGATAGTCCCTAACTGACAGAGTACTGGAATGGAACAAAGCCAGAAAAAAAACTGCTGATAGAGACGTCTGGCGATCTCTCTGGCAAATCTCTACACCCCAAGCTAGAAGAGGAGCGACTAAGTAAGTAAGTAAGTAAGTCTAATTCTACCCAACCTAAAACAGGTATAAGAAATTGTTCTGGGGAGAAAAGGTAGCCAGGAGTATTTACCACAATATCTATCCTGTGCTAACATCATCATATGCACAATAAGCTTCAATGACTGCCAGTTTGTCCTTGACTCTGACTTTCTATGGATACAACTATAGAGCCTAATTTGATTTTACCACTCCCTACGAGGGTTCCAGGGCCCTAATTATGGGTCTTTCCTTTGAAGTCAGGGTGCATCTGCCTGAAACATGAGGAACCAACAGTTCGCATACAAATAAGCCAGATGTGGGAAACTTAGGTTCTGGGACAAGACCACAGTCCACATGTGGATGAACAACCAGAAAATGCCACTAGAGTGTACAGCTGGTAAATGCTAAGAGGAACACAAAAAAAAAGTTAACATAAAATTAATATAAAAACTAAAACAAACCTGATGACACTGGCAATAGTTACGAACTGAAGATAAGAAACAAAACAAAAAAATTATTACTTTATGTTACTGAAAGGAACAATAGTGGCAAATGTGTAACACACTAGCATCTCTAGTTAATGGTTTAGGCTCAATTACATGATTATTTCATCCAACAAGAATGGCTCAGGGGTCAAACCATTCTCATAAAATTGGTAACAAATTGGTCTTTATTTTTTTTTTTAAAACTTCTTCTGTGCTCACTCTTCTTAGAAGGGTAGTTGGAAAGTTGTTTCCATGTTTACAGCTAAACTGAGATTTGATCCAACACATTCCATTTCAGCACACAACTAATGAGCTGCTTTTTTGACAGGCATGTTAGGGGCAGTTACTCTATTCTTTCTTCCCCAATTAAGGCCCAGAACCCAACAAGGAAGGTAACTGGACATTTCGGTAGTTTTTTGGGAGTTGTCTGGGAAGTTTGACAGTGGGGAGGGCAACTGGTCAGTCATAACCAAGAATATTTTAACACTGCATAACACTACAGGAGTGTCTGGCATGAAACATTTTGTTTTTAGCACTGAAAAAATTGCACTGTTAATCTCTCTCTCTCTCTCTCTCTCTCTCTCTCTCTCTCTCTCTCTCTCTCTCTCTCTCTCTCTCTCTCTCTCTCTCTCTCTCTCTCTCTCTGTTTTTTTTTTAAAATGAAACAGTGCAGCAAAACATACACAACATCCATATTGAAAGAGAATAATTCAGCTGGGATTGAGTAGAGGTTCTGAACAATTGTTTACCTCTAGAGGGACAAACTTGAACTTTTAATCAGGCTGCACTTGCCACCATCAGAATGGGAACTCTTCATTTGCTACTAAAGAAGAGGATGCTGCATGTATGGGAATGTCCAAAAGTCAGTTCCTAATTCATCCTTTTTTTTTTTTTTTTAAGTTTGGTTTAACTGGTTGGTTGATTGGTTGGTTGGCTGGCAGGTTGATAAATTAGCTAGTTTATTTAGAATCTTCTAGAGCTATCCATTTAAACTCATAATTTCAATGCACTGACATAATTTTTGTTTTCATTTTAATTATTTTTGTTTTGGTGGTGGGAGGGGGGCATCTGGTACCTTACCCAAGGGGCTGTGCTGCACAGCTCTTTTTCCTCTCTCACAGTTCAGGACCCAGCAATATATGCAATACAGTATTGGAAGCATTAAGCAGCATGACCCTGAATGGATCTAGCAATTCTCTTGCAAACCTTCCACTCTTTAACATTTGCCTTTCACCTCCCATCCTAGTAATGTAAAAGATCGTTCACTCACCTTTGCCACATCTGCCATACCTAGATTATTATAGGCCAAACAGAACTCAATAAGTAATGTGATCAACATGCTGGCTGCCTTTACTTCCCATGACATAACCTGGGAACTATTTTAGGCTGGGTCAGCTTGAGAGCCAAAGTCACTTTTGAAAGAAAATCTGCCTGCATGTGGATTTGATCTCTTGACATCTGGGTGGGCATGCGAGTGACTAGCCTGCTCTCTACAGGGCTTCTTTTTATTGAGTACAGGCTGTCAAACAACTCAGACAACAACCAACAACTCACACAACAACTCACACAACAACTCACACAACAAACTCTCAACAACAACAACCTCTGTAGAATCACGACAACAACAACAACAACTTCACACAACAACAACTCATGATTAGCTGGACTTTACAGCTAAAGTCTTATAGGAGGGGTTGGGGGGGGGGGGGGGCTGTCTCACCCCAACCATCCTTGGTTGCCTCTAAAGACATGCATGGTGCCATGACTAGACTGTTACTGAATGAGCTATTACATCACTGTGAGGGAAGTTTGGGCCCTTTTCTTTTAATTCACTTCATCTCTGGAATTTCAAAATTTTTTGTGGGGAGTTCCCCGAAAAGTCCATGTGATGAACATGGGTAAAAACGTATAATGAACAAAAAGAATACAAATTTGCTATTTAACATCTTTTGTTTCTTCTTTTTTCTAATCACAGTTGTAAAAAAAAGTTCTAGTAATTCATCCACTTCTGGTCTTTGGTCTTGTTCCAGAATTTGAGTTTCATTATGTACATCCATTTTACAGATCTGACATAGTTGTGTGTATACTGTTGTTCCATGTCTCTCAGGCAGATGCTTTCCAAATGCAAAGAACATGTCAATCTTGTCTACACTGGCCAGGGTCCCAGCTGAAAACCCATGTATCTAAGTTGACCGTAGGGAGATGTAAATAGATTGTGATCAGTAATAGGTGGGTCTTGGTGAACCATTTCATGTAGTTCAGTAACCCTGTATGCTTGTTGCATAATAATAAATATAGTGGAGACAACAGCAGATGTACGTACTGCACGTTTCAAGGCTGTCAGTTCGTACAGAACACATCCCAGAGACCACATGTCGCTGAAACATGACAGGAACACATTTGGTTATCTTTATAGGCAAACAGAGTATGTTTCATTTCAAATGAATGGGCAGGAGTGAGTGTGTGTGTAAATTTATGGCTGAATGGATGTACAGACAGATAGATGGATGGAAGGAGGAAGGGATGGGTGGATGAATGGATGGATGGATGGTTGAGGAAGGGAAAAATGGAAACATAAATGGATGGATGGATGGATGGATGGATGGATGGATGGATGGATGGATGGATGGATGGATGGATGGATGGATGGATGGATGGATGGATGGATGGATGGATGGATAGATGGATGCATAGATGAACGGATAAATGATGAATGGATGGAAATGTCGACATACTTTCAGATATAAAACACAGAAAGACAGAGAAAAAAGTAAATACAAATGTATACATATATATTAACAAACAACATATTCATACACTCAAATGGACAGATAGATCAAAAGATTCATGTACAAGACAAAATGAGCCACCCATGTGTATGAATCTTTTTTATTGCTGCACAGATGCAATGTGTTTCTTTCTTATATCTGCATATACATTTCTAATTTCATTAGCTTTGACTCGAAAATATTTGTTACTTATTCTGGCTGCCGTAATATTTGCGCTCCTAATTTCTTGTAGGCATAAAAGTAATTATAAGTGACTAATTTCATCATAAAAATACCTGCAAATATCCAAATATCGACAGTAAAATGGGAACATCACTGTTAAGAAATATTTCTCTAAATATACATACATCTTTAACTTTTACTGTCTAAGACAGTGTTCTTCAACCTGTTGGCTTCGAACCCAGAAAACAACTGTCCCAAAAAGTCAGACACAAATATTGCAGCCATGCTGTAAACAGACACAAAGTATTTGTGTCACTTGGAAGAATGAATAAGAAGAAAAGAACATTATTAGAGGGCACGGTTCCTGTAAGAAGAGGCAGGGGTTGACCAGCATCAGGTGGACTCAGGATATTAGAGACACCATGACAAGAAAGATGTAAGGCAACAGAAAATGGAAAGAAACAGTCTTTCTAACAGGTTATGATGACAGCAAGGTTCTGCAAAATACTGCATGATGATGATGATGATAACAATACTGCATGATGATGATGATGATAACAATAATGATGATGATGATGATGATAACAAGAATGATGATGATCCTTTAGTGTTGATTTATTCTGAGTTACCTTTTGTTTTTGTACTCATTTCCATTGAGGATTTCTGGAGACATGTAGACAAGGGTTCCAGCCATTGTACAAGCATACTGCATAGTCCTAGGAGAAAGTAGGCATGTCAAAAATGCTTGTATGATTAAAAATAATTTACTGCTGAATTCAGAATAACATTACAGCACACAGTAACTTTAGCTGATTGTTAGTTAATCAGTTTGCTGGTAGCTTGTCTAACTTGTTGGGTTTTTCTGTCATTGCAAGAATCTGGTTGCCCTGCGAAACTGTGCTTCAATATTCCAATGGTCAGCTTTATTCTAGGAGTTATCCACAACAAACAAACAAAACAAAAACAAAATCTTATGACAATGGAAAACATGCTTTGTGTTAGAAAGCTCTAGAAAACTACAGAGAATGATTAAACAGTACAAAGATTTGAATAAGAGGTGTTAATAAATCGTAAGACAGAATAACGCTATCTCACATCACTTTTAATATAATTCCAAGGATACATTAAAATATATGATTATAACAATTATTTAAAAAGTACAATTGAAATATATTAAACCTAACAATCTATACTATAATCTGTTACAGTTTATATGTAATCTATTTCTGTTGTACCATTTTTTTCCACATGTGGCTCATAGTCTATTCCACAATTCTGTTCTATCTTGTGCTTTCATTTTGATGTTTCTCTGATAGATGTAATATATGATGTGGACAATATGCTGGTACTTATTTACTTATCAAAGTCAACTAATCTTTTTACTTTTTTTAAATAACAACCAAGATAAAACTGGAGATTCAATGGGGGAAAAATACTTACTTATCCAAAACTTTAGACAGGCCAAAATCACCAAGCTTGATGACCTCATGACTTGCCAGAAATATGTTCTACATACACAGAAATTAGGAAAGAAAGCAACAGCCATTAGCAAATTACACTGAATATAGTAACATGAAATGTGGCAAAATAATCACAATCAAATATTTTATTTTAAAATCAACATTGTCTATGAAATTCTAATCTGCCCAAAATGGTCAAAACACATGCCAGTTGGCCTCCATGCTCAAGAATACATACAATACAAGTGGCCAGTTTTGGATGAATTGATAGATCAAACCTGGGCCAGAAAGACACAAGAGTAGGAGAAACAATGGAGTACCGGTGACAGCCTTCTACTAGAAACAGCTACTGATGGCTGGATTCACAGGTGTACTCATTTAAATTACAGAATACAAGAAATACATTGCACAAGAAGTTGACGAGGATAAAGAGGAGAAGTGGAAGAATAAAAAATGTAAAACTACTACATATACTAGCCCTCCTCCTTCTTCTCTCCCTCCATCACCACTTCCTCCTTCTCCTCATCCTTCTCTTCTTATTCCTCTTCTTCTTTATCTTCTGCTTTCTTATGTTTTCTGCCTGTATTGCTGTAAACATTTCTTCCATGAGACAGATAACAACCAGAACAACAGATTTTAAACTACTGTGAGATTTTTGATGCACTTGCCCATGGCAGATCCTAGTGTTTCTTTAGCAGGTTGGGGGGCGGCTGGGAGAGAGCAGGGGGAAGGTGGGGGGGGGGGGGGGTATTTATCAGGCAAAGTTTAGTATTTGATCTCCATACCCAAGAGATGAGAAAGCCTTTTGATATATCACATAACAGCCTTATGCTGGACAACCTCTGACCTCAAGGGAAACAGTGAAACAAGAGTCACATCCCCTTGAAATTCTCACTTCAATAACATGTACTAAGAAAAGCCAGATTGATGAGCTGCAGTAAAGAAAAACATGACTGATGAAATTAACAAAACAAACATGAAGAAATAAACAAGTAAAGAAGAATAGATAACCAATCAAACCTCAGGCTTGATGTCTCTGTGCAAAATTTTCTTGCCATGCATGTAGTCCACAGCTTGGCACAACTGGCGGAATATTGTCAGAATCTGTGTGGAAATAGACCAACAGTTCACATAATGTTATACTAGTCAGAATATGTGTGAAAATAGACCAACAGTTCACACAATGTTATACTAGTCCAAATCTGTGTGGAAATAGACCAACAATTCACACAATGTTATACTTGTCAGAATCTGTGTGAAAAAAGACCAACAGTTCACACAATGTTATACTTGTCAAAACCTGTGTGGAAATAGACCAACAATTCATACAATGTTATACTTGTCAAAATCTGTGTGGAAATAGACCAACAATTCACACAATGTTATACTTGTCAGAATCTGTGTGGAAATAGACCAACAGTTCACACAATGTTATACTTTTCAGAATATGTGTGGGAACATACCAACCTTCTACACAATGTTATACTTGAGAATATGTGTGGGAACATCTACACAATGTTATACTTGAGAATATGTGTGGGAACATACCAACTGTCCACACAATGTTATACTTGTCAGAATATGTGTGGGAACAGACAAATATTCAAACAAATTGTCTTCTTCCTGTTCACCAACTGAAACTCCAGTGGAAAGTTCTGATAGCTCATTCACTTCTGGATTTTGGTGTTGATCTAGAGTTTTGTGTGTACATCCATTTTACAGATTTGACTTTGTTTTATGCACACTGTTCTTTCCTTGCTACTAAGGTAGATGGAGCCCAACTTTGAATGAAACTCCCCTAATTAGTTGACCTGTATGACATGCTTGTTAAAGAGGCACTGGGTCTGACCTGTATGACATGCTTGTTATAGGGGCACTGGGTCTATTCTTTATTCTCCAAAATGGAAACCTGGAACCCACATGGGGAATAACTCCCAAATTAGGCACATTTTGTGCACGTGATGAATAACATTTTATAATGTCTTATATTCTAGTTATTATTTGGAGCTTCTTTCAGCAACGTGAAACCAAACATCACAATTGTCAACAACGTTCAAACTATCATTAATATATTAATCATGAAACAGATTCTTACCCATGAGGGTTTTGCTGCCTCATAAGCACCAGCTGCGAACTCCAGTGAAAAGTTCTGGTTATTTTTCCAAACTCCAGTGGAAAGTTCTGGTTGTTTTTCTACTTCCGGACTTTAGTCTTGTTTTAGAATCTGAGTTTTGTGTGCACATCTGTTTAACAGATCTGGACAATTTTTGTGCAGACAGTTGGTTCCTGACCTCTCAGGCAAATGCAATCCAGCTTGAGGGAAACCACCCTAAATAGTTGACCCTCACGATGTGCTTGCTAGGGGGGCAGTGGGCCTATCCACTTTCACCCCCCCCCCCAAACAGGGGCCCCAGAACCCACTGGGGACAGTATAATTCATTTATTAAATGCTAACTTAATGCAGAATCTCAGTTGATACTGTGACTTATAATTGTGGAAGACATTTTTCCCTGATTTATAAACACTTCATTGTTGACATAATCAGGTTTAATATCAGAATCCTCACCCACAGGTGGAGTGGTCTATAAAATATTTGTCTAGCCCAGAGCCAGATTACAATCTTGTGATGCCCCAAGCACCTAAAAGATTATTGTCCCCCCCCCCCCCAGCACTTAAAAGATTTTGCCCCCCCCCCCCCCCCCCCCCCCCCCCCCCCAGCACTTAAAAATATTTTTGTCCCCCCCCCCCCCCCCCCCCCAGCACTTAAAAGACATTCATGCCCCTCCCCCCCCCCTTTCCCAACCACTTGAAAAAAAAGGGAAAAAACACGCTCAAACTCTAAGGCTATTTAAAAATGTCTGTGGTGCTCTGTGATGCCCTAAGCATGTGCTTAATGATTAATCCAGCCCTGGTCTAGTCCTATATACCTGATACGCCTAGGTGCGTGGAAAAGGGTCTTTTATTTTACTGATTGTTACTTACCCATAGACATGATATCCAACAAAAAGCAAAACAGAAATATACCAAAAAGAAAACACAAAATCACTGATTATTGCAAAGCCTTATCAGCCACTAGAATGACGAAGCAATACTCAAAGCCAATATAAACTAGAGCAATATAAAAAGACAACTATTGTCCCTGAGAAAAAAAAAATAACAGTAACCAGACACCTTGATTACAGTAAACACCATAAAGATAATCCCATGAAGTATTCCACCATCAAAGCAGGAGATTTAGATAGCCTAACTCACAAGCCGAATATCATCACAATGAGCTGGAACATGTTTCCTCTTTCACCACACTTCCTCTCCTTCCAGGACAAATCTTTGGTCCATGTTCCTGAGGCTAGACAGGGCTTCCTCACATAGCAACCTCTCAGTAGTTTTTTATCCTGATATCTTGTTCAACCTTGCAGGGTTAAAACTGGGACAAATAGGGTTTATTTATTTGTTCTGAGAATTATTTTTCAGATAATTGCTGTTACTTTTATGTATTTTGTTTTTCTACTTCATTTGTAATTGTTGAAAAAAATAAATAAAATCTTGTGTGTGGTAAATTATGTGTATCAATAAAACTAATAAAGTGCAGTGAACATTGCAGTTCATGCAGGAAACAAATCTGCTGAAAAAGATAAGCTGTGTCCAAGTGAACTAAAAGATAATCAACAGATTAAAAATTATTACAGTAAATTAAAAAGAAAAACACATATGTAGGTAAATTAACAGATAAAAAACATTTGGGCTATCTTCCAAATAACGGTCCCAAATTATCGAGGCAGAAAATATACCCTAACAGGGCATTAGTTATGTGTCAGTGGGACTATACCACTCACACGGCGTGGATTGAGGCTAAACTAGATGGCTAAGACTCACAAGCAAATAAAATGAAGGCAGCTGCAGGAAATGCGGTAGCTGCTGCTCGTGAGTCCCAGCCATCTAGTTTAGCCCCAATCCACGACGCTCACGCGGCGTGGGGATACTCTCGGTGGTGGCAAGTAAAGTGCACAGATTTAAGTCACCGGGATTAATTGACACGTGAAATTCCTGTTAGAAAAATTTCTGCCTCAATAATTTGGGACCGTTTTTCAGAAGATAAAAAACATTTGCAATGAATTTAACAGAGTTGAATTCAACTGTTGATAGCATGTATTATATATTAAATGGGTAAAAACATATAGTAATTTTTTTTTTTTTTTAAATAGATAAACAAGTTTACAATTAATGAAACAGTTAAAAGCATGTGTACTAAATTAAGTAGAAATAAAACCAATGTAGTTTTTTTCTGCACGTTCACCAGCTGTAAGCTCCAGTGAAAATACCTGGTTGTTCAGCCACTTATGGACTCTAGTTTTGCATGCACATCTGCTTTAAAGATCTAACTTATTAGTGTGCCGACTGTTGGTGCCTCATCTGTCCTTAAGCAACTGCTGTGAAAAGTTCTGGGACTGAGATGGTTATATTTCAGTGTGTAGAAATTGCCATTTCATCTTACTTTTTAGTAGCTAAATTTATCCAAGATGGTGAGTGCAAGCCAGGAAAAAACAGTTGAGCAGCCAAGCAAAAACTAAAATGCAATATATTGCAAGCAATATAAAGCCAGTAATTATATTGTCTAATAAAGAAAGATTGCACTAAAACCTCAAAGGAAATATGTTGTAAGCAATAAAGAGCCTATAAATATATTTTCTAATTATAATAAATATTGCATTGATACCTCTTGCTCTGGGAAGCGTTTACTGCCTCGCTTCCAAATTTTTGTTGCCAGATTTCCTAGGTACAACATGTAAAGTAAACACGATTTGATCTTTTAATGCACACTTTTAAAGAATATAAACTAGAAATAAACAGGCAGTGACATTCTGTTTAGAGTGGACGACTGTTTTTCATTTGAGAAATCATTGGCTGTCTTCTTTTAACAATTACAAAAGAATAGCAGACTACTTTTTATTTCAGAATCCACTAGCTGACTACTTTTCATTTCAGAATCCACTAGCTGACTACTTTTCATTTCCGAATCCACTAGTTGACTACTTTTCATTTCAGAATCCACTAGTTGACTACTTTTCATTTCACAATCCACTAGTTGACTACTTTTCCTTTCAGAATCCACTAGTTGACTACTTTTCATTTCAGAATCCACTAGTTGACTATTTTTCATTTCAGAATCCACTAGTTGACTACTTTTCATTTCCGAATCCACTAGTTGACTACTTTTCATTTCAGAATCCACTAGCTGACTACTTTTCATTTCAGAATCCACTAGTTGACTACTTTTCATTTCAGAATCCACTAGTTGACTACTTTTCATTTCAGAATCCACTAGCTGACTACTTTTCATTTCAGAATCCACTAGCTGACTACTTTTCATTTCAGAATCCACTAGCTGACTACTTTTCATTTCAGAATCCACTAGCTGACTACTTTTCATTTCAGAATCCACTAGCTGACTACTTTTCATTTCACAAACCACTAGCTGACTACTTTTTATTTCAGAATCCACTAGCTGACTACTTTTCATTTCAGAATTCACTAGCTGACTACTTTTCATTTCAGAATTCACTAGTTGACTACTTTTCATTTCAGAATTCACTAGCTGACTACTTTTCATTTCAGAATCCACTAGCTGACTACTTTACAGAATACAGACTCTATAGAGGGAGTCAAACAACAATAATAATTCTGGAGAAAGACCACTAGAAGCTACAGCTTACTAATTAAAAACCCTGTTTAACAGGATAAATCAGTTGCAGAGTAACCAGTGTGAGTGGGAGCTATCATACAAATCTCACGTCAACCCTCCTTAACCACTTATTAAGACACGTCTGAGAGGTTACAGTGTTTCTATATGAGAGGAGTGTTTATACTTTGCTTTCTTCGTGGATTCTGCCAACATATAGGTGATATACTAAACTGGTTCAGAACACATATATGAATTTTAATAAATTTTTTTTTTCGTGTTTCGGGACTTCACTGTATGTATTTACAACTTACTGGCGCATAAAGGGGCGGGGGGGGGGGGGATGAGAGAGAAGCTTGAAGATTTAAGGCCGCATGGCTAGCAGAGTCACCAGGAGACCATGCATGTTAGTATTTTTTTTTTTTTGCCCCTGACAGAAAAAAATCTCCATACCTCACTGAGGATCAAATCTTTGTTCTCCAGTGTTCTAACAATTCAGCCAGCTTCTCCTTTTTAATAAAGTAATGAATGAACAGTTGACATCACAGCACTTGAAACATTCCCGGATGTGCTCCGTCTCCCTCTACTTTAGCCACCAAAAAAGTTCCCACAATGCTGGTGTTAGTTGGAAGCTAATTAAGAGACACTCTGTCTTTTCCTCTGTGCACTAAAAATTGTCCAGACTCTTCTGCCTTATCCCGCAGTTTCTATCCTTTGGGGACTGCATACTCTTCCTTTTCTATTGCACGGTCGACTTGGTCCCAGAGAACTTTCTCCATGTCCATTTTATCGTAAAGTAACTCTCCCCCACCCCATCCCACCCACCCTCGACTCTACCCTTCCACAGAGGAGCAGCAGCAGCTCGTTGGTTAATGACCTCTTCTGGCAGACCTTGATTTTCTATTTGGACTTACAAATTGTTCACTTGCTCTTAAAGGGTCTTGACCTAAATCTACCCTGACATGCATCAAGCTGAGTGCAGAAACAGCCAGTCTTGAGTGTCTGTCTTCCTTGGACTGACCTAATACTTTGCTGTGCTCTGACAACTGGCCAGGTAGAGTTAGTGTTATTAATTGTTATTTTGTAAATATGTTGATGACACATTTTAAAACAGTAGTGACATACTTATAAAACACTGTTAGTTCTCTAGTATCAGATTTTTCCACTTTTAGACTTTCTATTTCTTTCATAAATATTCTTGGCTGTGTACATCAAACACTGACAATCCTTTGTTTTTTTTTTTCATAAAGAACATTTAAGACAACAAGAAGCACATCAATTAACTGGAATTTGCGTAACAACACTTGCAGCATATACCAAACCTGACATCACACATTGCACACTTGCAGCATATACCAAACCTGACATCACACATTGCACACTTGCAGCACATACCAAACCTGACATCACACATTGCACACTTGCAGCATATACCAAACCTGACATCACACATTGCACACTTGCAGCATATACCAAACCTGACATCACACACTGCACACTTGCAGCATATACCAAACCTGACATCACACATTGCACACTTGCAGCATATACCAAACCTGACATCACACACTGCACACTTGCAGCATATATCAAACCTGACATCACACATTGCACACTTGCAGCATATACCAAACCTGACATCACACATTGCACACTTGCAGCATATACCAAACCTGACATCACACATTGCACACTTGCAGCATATACCAAACCTGACATCACACATTGCACACTTGCAGCATATACCAAACCTGACATTACACATTGCAACTGTGCCTACGGCTTCAGGAGACTTCTATCCTTATCCTAGAAAAGGGAAATGCAGTCTAAAACTTCATGTTATAACAGGACAGATCCTTAGCATTTACTGGCAGCTAGTCTAGGACAGAAAGCTCTGACAGATGAATAGTGCACTGCTTTTCTGATTCAGAATCAAGCCATTTAAAACTTCCTTGTTACCCCCCCCCCCCCCCCCCCCCCCCCCCCCCCCCCCACCAATGGCACACTATCATCAGGAAAAGGGATAACAAAAAAGCTTTACATTTAGTTCCAGGATAGTGCCCCCAGAGAAACTAGGTCAAATTCCTCTGATAACTTTTTTGGACTGCTCTTCTATCCGGGGGGGGGGGGGGGGGGGGGGGGGAGTTACAGGTGTGCCACTTTGTTGTCTGCTTTCTGGCTTATCTTGCATTTACATTTTTCTTCAGAGAAAGAGAATCCCTGTGACACAGGTTGCAGCACTCTCTAGGGGGGTTGTGTGTTAGACCCAGTTTCTAAATGTTTTTGTGGTGTTAAAACCACTGGCGTGCTTAAATATACAACACTCGATATCAACGGCATTGCTGAACACCCCAGTAGCAGTGTTTGAAGGTCGGGTGACTCAAGGTCGACCAATCAGAAGTGAGCTAGTGTGAATAATGGCAGTCTCTGGGGGGACTTTAGTGGAACTAACCAGCTTTACAACACACTGGAAAAGGGGAAAGCACTGCAAGTTAAGATAATTCTAGAAATGAAACTATCTTCCTACCAATCACATGCAAAACAATTCTAAGCAAAACCATGTTTTAACATTTCTTATACTGACCTTCAGAACAATATGACATCACGATATGAAGACACTCATTTTCTGATAAACAGAGAAATAAAAATCAGTTTTGAAACAATGAAGCCTGAAGTGAGTACCTGTTCTGTTTTATTATCTCATTGTGTGTTGAAAAGCTATCCCACATTGCAGTCATCACCTTGTGGGTTGCAATTTTTCGTTATTTGAAGCCCCACCCTGACTCTTGCCAGGGGCCGCAATATAGCCCGGCCATAAATATGGTCTTATGGCTGAACATGGTTTCTGGGACCTCACCACGGGTGATCTTCATCCACATGGTGGCACTTTGTGTCATTGGGTGTTTATCTCTTGTGTGATGTCCTAGTGGGGTAACATCTACTACTAATAGTTATCAACCATGTAATGTTCTTTCCCACTTCTTCCAGTAACCTGAATTTTAAAGTACTTGGAAGCCAAAAAGATATTTAATCTGCTACCAAACTCAGAATATATTTAACATCAAATCAGTGCTGTTTTATGGTGCAAACATTTTGTGGCCATAGGCTTTCAAACTGACACAAAGAAAACATTGATAGGGCATAGCAACTCTCCCCCTGCCTTATAGATTTTCTAAGCAAAAAAAGGGGGGCCTCATGGGGCATAATTCTGGTTTAGGAACTTAATCATAATAATTTGATGAATAAAAAGGAAGTATACTAATATACGTGAAATAATATATATAAAAAGATAAATTTAACAAGAATTTCTATACCCTTATGGAAGGGGGGGGGGGAGGCCCTTATGTCCCAGAAACTCTGGTTGTGGGTTCAAATCCACATTAACAGAGATATTTAAATAGACTTTTGCTCCGTCTGTCTGAGACAGACTAAAAGAGATTATCAGTTTTGGAAAGCAAAAATTGATACTGATCATATCCCCCATTGAGCGAGGATTGCTCCATAAACTTGTGTTTATCACTATATGCATGCCCAACTAGTTAAGTTGGTTAAACCAGCTGCATGGCAACCAGGTGACAAACTCCTTGTGATCCTAATTCATGCTCAGGGGTGTCTATCATGGAATTAAGTCTGAAGGGTTGCAATATCCATAGTATTGAGCCAAAGGGTTTATGACTCATGGTTTCAGGATATTTAAAAAAACAACAAAATCACAATATGCCAAGCTTGTCTCAAGGTGTTCAAACAGATTTGTATTTTTTATTTTAAAACATCCCCTTTATTCCTAAAAATAACATGAACACAACTGTGAGAGTGACCTTAAAACACTCAGAGAAAGACAGACAGAGAAAGAGGGAGAACAGGGAGATCTGAGGCCCCATTGTGGGGGAAACAAGAGTAGTATCCCCTGCCTCCCCAACAAGCATGGCATAGAAGTCAACTAACTGAGGGCATCCTTCAAAATCGAAGTAAATTTGCCTGAGAGGCAAGGAACCAAAAGTCTGCATATAATTAGTCAGATCTGTGATAAAGATGGGGAAGAAACACTCCAGTTTTTGAACAAGACAAAAGTCCAGAACAGCCAGAGCTTTCCACTGGAGTTTACAGCCAGTGAATGTAAAGAAGAAGAAGAATGGGGAGAGAGACAACAGAGAGAAAAAAAAATGACAGAGAGAGGGGAAAAAAACCATACTGCAACAATTACAGGATCCATTAGGACATTTATTAGTCAAAAGATGTTGCTTAGTAACTGATCATTACATGTATTACTCACCTTCAAATGATTCAATGTAGGAGACAATATTCTCATGCTTCAACTGCTTCAGAATGTCCACCTAGTGAAACATGAGATCACAACATCAGACTCCATCTAGCACAACTTGGTTTAGCACATTTTATTCTCACAGTACTCAATCTGAGCATTGACTCGAATCAAATACTTTTCATTTTCTCAGCCACCTCAAACTTGGTTTAGCACATTTTATTCTCACAGTACTCAATCTGAGCATTGACTCGAATCAAATACTTTTCATTTTCTCAGCCACCTCAAACTTGGTTTAGCACATTTTATTCTCACAGTACTCAATCTGAGCATTGACTCGAATCAAATACTTTTCATTTTCTCAGCCACCTCAAACTTGGTTTAGCACATTTTATTCTCACAGTACTCAATCTGAGCATTGACTCGAATCAAATACTTTTCATTTTCTCAGCCACCTCAAACTTGGTTTAGCACATTTTATTCTCACAGTACTCAATCTGAGCATTGACTCGAATCAAATACTTTTCATTTTCTCAGCCACCCCAAACTTGGTTTAGCACATTTTATTCTCACAGTACTCAATCTGAGCATTGACTCGAATCAAATACTTTTCATTTTCTCAGCCACCTCAAACTTGGTTTAGCACATTTTATTCTCACAGTATTCAATCTGAGCATTGACTCGAATCAAATACTTTTCATTTTCTCAGCCACCTCAAACTTGGTTTAGCACATTTTATTCTCACAGTATTCAATCTGAGCATTGACTCGAATCAAATACTTTTCATTTTCTCAGCCACCTCAAACTTGGTTTAGCACATTTTATTCTTACAGTACTCAATCTGAGCATTGACTCGAATCAAATACTTTTCATTTTCTCAGCCACCTCAAACTTGGTTTAGCACATTTTATTCTCACAGGACTCAATCTGAGCATTGACTCGAATCAAATACTTTTCATTTTCTCAGCCACCTCAAACTTGGTTTAGCACATTTTATTCTCACATTACTCAATCTGAGCATTGACTCGAATCAAATACTTTTCATTTTCTCAGCCACCTCAAACTTGGTTTAGCACATTTTATTCTCACAGGACTCAATCTGAGCATTGACTCGAATCAAATACTTTTCATTTTCTCAGCCACCTCAAACTTGGTTTAGCACATTTTATTCTCACAGTACTCAATCTGAGCATTGATTCTAATGAAGACTTTTAATTTTCTTGTTCACCTTCTAATGAGCACTTTGGCGGTTCTCTTTGTGAGTGTTGACTTGACCTGATAGTGTTTAAATGTCTCACAGTGGAGCACAGGGTGACAGCTTGCAGAACTAACTTGCCTCTGTAAGAAAGGACACTTTTCCACGTCTTTAGACATATTGGGCATATAGGGCAAGACCTATATTCTATAAACCAACTGGCACTTGGTAGAGGATGTGGTCAGCATCACGCCAGCCACCTTTACTTCCCAGGACTTTACCTGTTACCCATTTAAGGCTGGGTCTACCTAGGAGATAGGTCTTTTTGAGAAAAAAAAGTCCAGCTCTGTGGGGAGCCAAACCCATGACCTTCCAATCCACAGGTAGCAGTCTAGCTGCTACACCATGGCAGCTACTCTCTATAAGAAATGTATTATATTTTAAAACATGCAAGCTGTACCTGATACCTACATGCTGAATAATTATACTTTCTCAAAATATTTCAAGGATAATAAACATATCATTGATATATTATCAGGATTTCAGTTCGCAGGATGAACACCTCAAAGATGAGAATCCTACAGGCAAAAATGCATGTAAGCCCCCACTCAACCATAAGGTTGGTTAGACTGGGGCCTCGGACACCTACAAAGTAACCTGAAGTCCAATCAGGCAGGGACTGATATGTCAGTCAGTTTAGCCTAACATAAGTACCAGGAAATATTATATTAAATAATGGAGACGCATCATTCACCTAATTCATAATGTGCTGCAAAAATCCTTTAGTCTTGTTTTTTTTCAAATTATGCACATAAAATGAACGACAAAGAAGGAATGTTCACCTCTTTTGCTGCCAGCTCTTTCATATCTTTAGACATCTGCAAAGAAAGCAAAATTAAATAAGGGATATAACTGTGACACCTATTATGTAGCTATATTAAAGTAACCCTTCATTTTAGTCTCCCCTTAATGTATTTGATCCTGTGAATCAAAAAAAAAAATCATTAATTGTTTTCTTTAGCTAATCCTACTGACAAAAGTGAACAGACGTGATAAAGAAGCCGAAGAAATGGTAGCACAAACAATCATAAAATAAATGTAGTTCTGATTTAAAGGTTTTGTTTTATTTAAGTCTTCAGGGGCAAAAGTAAACATCCTAACTAGCAGACAGTGGTGACAGTACTAGCCTATGCAGCCTCAGATCTTTAGTATTATTTTTACCGTCTGTTTTAGGATGAAATTTTTTGTTATTTGAAACCCCACCCTGGCTCTTTTTAGGGGCCGCAAGATAGCCAGGCCATAAATATAG